TTAGGGGAGGGGGCGTGGCTTAAGCGCCGCTGACTTCAATAGGAAGGGGCGTGTCTTCGCTGAGGGGGCGTGGCTTGCGACCCATTGCCGGTAATGGAAGGGGGCGTGTCTTCGCTGAGGGGGCGTGGCTTGCGGACCACTGCCAGCATTGGGAAGGGGGCGTGGTTTCGCTGAGGGGGCGCGGCTAAAAGGGTTCAGCGCGAGTAGTGACGTCATTCCGCTGACGTCACCGCTGGTTTTTTCCTCCCCCTCCCCCCTCATTGTGACGTCACCACCGCAGGAAAAAAGGAATTCCCGGATTCCGGGGGTTTTCCCCCCCCCCAAAAATCCCCGGGATGGAATCGGGGGGATCCAAAACTCTGCCGGACCCGGTGAGCGACCGGAAAAACAAAACAAAAATCCCCCCCCCAAAAACAAACAAACAAAAAAAAAAAGAAATCCCGGAATTTTTCTTTTCCGGCGCTGAAAGTTTGAACTTTTCCCGCCCTTTTCTTCCCCCAAAACCAAAAAAATTCCCGCCAGGCCGACGCGATGACGTCAGACGACTTCGACATCGTCATCGAGGCCATGCTGGAGGCGCCCTACAAGAAGGAGGAGGTGAGGGAATTCCGGGAATTCCGGGAATTCCGGGAATTCCTGGAATTGCTTTTCCCGTTTTTTCCCTTTTTTTTCCTCCGTTTGGCTCCGTTTCCACCGAAAATTCCCAATTTTGCGTCGATTTCCCTCATTTTTTGTCCCATTTTCCCCCAAATATCCCAATTTTCCCCTCTTTTGGTTCCATTTTTCCCCAGATTTCCCCATTTCTGAGTCAATTTTTCCCAATTTTCCTCATTTTTCTTCCATTTATTCCAGATTTTTCCCATTTTTCCCAATCTTTGGCTCCGTTTTCCCCAAATTTCCCCATTTTTTCTTCCATTTTCCCTCAAATTTCCCCATTTTTTCTTCCATTTTCCCCCAAATTTCCCCATTTTTGGCTCAACTTCTCCCAGATTTTCCAGTTTTTCCCAATTTTCCTCATTTTTCATCCCTTTTCCCCACATTTCCCAATTTTCCCCATTTTTTGACTGAATTTTTTCCCAATTTTCCCCATTTTTGCTTCCATTTTCACCCAAATTTTCCCATTTTTCCCAATTTTTACCTCAATTCTTCCCAAATTTTTCCAGTTTTTCCCCATTTCCCTCATTTTTCCTCCATTTTTCTCTAAAATTTTCCAATTTTTTCCAATTTTTAGCTGAATTTTTCCCGAATTTTCCCATTTTTCCCAATTTTTGCCTCAATTTTCCCCAAATTTCCCCGTTTTTGCCTCAACTCTTCCCAAATTTTCTCGTTTTTCCCGGATTTTTCCAGGCCCAGCCCGGCCCTTCCAAGGCCCCAGCGGAGCCGGCCCCGGCCCAGGTGGGAATTCCGGGAATTTCCTGGGAATTCTGGGAATTTTTGGGAATTTCTGGGAATTTCTTGAGAGTTTGGGGGAGAATTTGGGGAATTCTGGGGATTTGGGGGATTTTTTTTTTTGGAATTTTGGGATTTCTGGGTGGGAATTTGGGGAATTCTGGGAATTTCTTGGGAATTCTGGGAATTTTTTGGGAATTTCGGGAGTTTTCTGTGGGAATTTCGGGAATTCTGGGGATTCTGGGTGGGGAATTCTGGGAATTCCAGGGATTTTTTGGGAATTCGTGGGGGAGGGGAGGGGCAGCCTGGGAGGGAATTTTGGGAATTTTTTTGGGAATTTTTTGGGAGTTTTTTTGGAGAAATTTTTGGAATTTTTTTGGAGTTTTTTGGGAATTTTTTGGGAATTTTTTTGGGATTTCTTGGGAATTTTTGGGGAATTTTTGGGGAATTTTTTAGGAATTTTTGGGAATTGTTTGGGAATTTTTGGGAATTTTTTGGGGAATTTTTGGGATTTTTTGGGAATTTTTGGGGAATTTTTTAGGAATTTTTGGGGGATTT